AGAAACATTACATAGATGATATTACAGTCGACAATTCTACATACTTTATGCGAATTCACGTCTGACTGCATCCTTTTGAACCGCCTTATATTATCTAATCCTAACGGTACTCATCGCATTATCAGTGATTTTAATCATCTGAACCACCTACTAGGGTCCTTTGAGACTACATAATATTAAAAATCAGCTGACCAATGACAAAGAATTATAAAATTTGAAATTGCATAATACTGAAAATATTGGTAATATTTTTAAAATATAAAAAAATATAACACACAACCACTTCAATTTAATATTTTAAAACAATAATAATTTCCAAAAAATAGTTTGATAAAACTTGAGACTATAAGCCATTAATTACGTTTCACATAAGATTTTAACCACCAATCAAAATGAATCAAATAACTATTTTAGTTTACTATTTTAAAAATGTCAAAACTTCCAAAAATAGTTATTAAAAATAATATAAAACTATAAAATAGGATTAATAATAAAATATAATCATTAAAACTAATTTACTTGATATATATACTATTTTGGAAATTAACATAAACTAAAATAAATATTGTTTTAAGCAATAATACAGATTTTTAAAAATATATATGTATTATAATAATTGAAGTCCAAAATTATTTTAAAAGTCAATAAAATAAATTAAATCAACAGAAAATATCAACTAAGCTAACTATTGTCACATATATAGATATATATTATTTGAAATATTAATATAAAATTAGTGACGATTATATAGAGGATATAATACTTTTTATAAGAACAAACGCTATAATAGTTTAAATGACGTAGGTTTTTAAAAGTTGAAACTACATAATACTGAAAATCTTTGTATAGAATTAAAAATATCAATAAAACAGATGAAATCAACTTTAATTTAAAATTTAAAAAACATATAAATATTTTTGGAAAATATTTTTGTTTAAATAAGATAAAAATATTTACAAAACTGCTAACTAAGAATAATAAACTTGATACAGATGTTATATATACAAAATTAACATAAAATTAAAATAATATTTTTGTTAAAAAAATAATTTATATGAAAATTAATATAATGATAATCTATATCAAAACTGATTCTAAAAGTCCATACAAAATTTATATAGTTTATAACGTTATTGAATAAGAACCATAACGTTTTCTTGTTCGGTGATAAAATAAATTTAGAGAAAAATATATTATATGATTTAAATAGTAATAAAGGATTCGTTAAAAATTTATTAAACTAATGTGTGGTTAATAAGGATTAAGAAAAGATAATAAATATTTATACATGAATTTAAGAACCTTTTTATAGTAATTTTTTAAAAGGATTCTATCTTAATAGTATAGATTTTTAATGGTATAGATATATCTTATTACATAAAGTTTGATTCTTCAAAGTTACTAATTAACATGATCGTGACATAAGACAATTATGTGTTTAAGATTGTGACATGTGAAATTTATTTTATAATTAAAAATATATATAAAAATAATAACAAAAACAATTTTTGTTTAAATAATTATTATCTAAAAGTAATTTCCCATTTTTAAAACCCTAAACAAAAAATAATTGTAAAAGATTATTTGATACTAATTTTCCTTTTAATATTGTGACAAGTGTTAAAATATATATATTTTTATTTATAGATTTATTAATTATAATTGTCTTCTTATAGTAATTTTCCATTTTAAAATCCTGAACAAAAGATAATTGTAAAAGATTATTTGATACTAACTTTCATTTTAATATTGTGACATGTAATAAAATATATAATAACTAATATATATATATATATATGTGTATATACGAATTAAAAAATGTAATTGTAAAATTTATTTATTAGGAAAAAGTAACTTTAAAAATTATTTAATAGTCTTTTTTAGAAAATTTACTTTACCAAAATCCTATAAAAAAAAAAATTTAAAAACAAAGTTGTAAAAGATTTTGAAAATAATTTTTAAGAGATTATATTGAGGTTGATTCTTCAAAGTTGCTAATTAACATGATTGTGACATATGAAAGTTATATATTTATAATTTTGATATGTTTTAAACTATATAATAACTAAAAATAAATATTCTAAGATACTAAAACTAATTTTTGTTAAAAATTAATTATAAATATTATTTAATAGTAATTTTCTATTTCTAAAATCTTAAACAAAATATATAATTGCAAATAATTATTTGATAGAAGTTTTGACATGTTTTAGAATATATCATGATTAAAATATATATACATAAAATAGTAAAACAAATTTTTGAAAAAATGATTTTCAAGATTATTTATTTTGAAAAAAATATTAATTTTTAAAATTATTTAATAGGGATTTTTTAGAAAATTTCCTTTTTTAAAAATCCTAGAGACAAAGATATTTGTAATAACATTTATTTAACACTCGATTTCGTTTTCTAAAATCCTAAAGAAAGATAATAGGAAAAAAATATTTGATAGTAATTTTCCTTTTAAAACTTTGTTATGTGATAAATATCTCATGATAAATAAAACTTATAATAGGATGATAAGAGGAATTTTTCAAACAAAAGTAATTATTTAGGTGTATTTTTTCTTTTTGAAAATTTTAAACAAAACATATTAGTCAAATAATTTATTTAGTACCAACTTTCGACTTCTAATGAAAATATAACTGTTAGAAAAGAAAATATTTAATAGTAATTGTCTTTTTTCTAACATAAAAAATGTAAGAAAATTGTAAAAGAGTGTTTAAATATTTTTCCTTTCTTCAAACCCTAATCAAAATGTTTTTGGAATAATTAATTCTAATATTTATATGAATAATCCACTTTTAAATTAAAATAGTTGATATATTTTTATAAATTATAAACCAAAAGAAGCAACAATTATTCACATATATATGTGATTAAGTTCTCTTGTTTTGTCACTTCTCATATTTTGATAGCAAATATAATAAGAGATACAAATAATATTAAATAAGTTTTTGTGCATATTCATTCACATCTTCGTGTGATCTACTCTTTTTGGATATCACATGTAGATGAAATAACATGTGATATCATGATTTTCACATTAAAGTGACGTTGATTTTTTTTTAAAAATATATATTATTATCATGCTGTCGTACATTAGTTACTGCCACAATTATACTTAAGCGTTTGTACATGTTGCTTTATGTATATTTAATGGGTAATGTGACTATTATGCTTATGTGTGTTTGTTCTTATCGGCATATAAAATTGGTTATGCTATTATAGATCATGATACTACAAAATTAAAATAAAAGAGAATGACTTTGAAGTGGAATGTTGTAGGTCATGCTACTAAAGAATTGAAATCAAAGAGAAAGATTTTGCAAGAGACAATATTACTAATAATTTGACCTATACAGCATGATTACTGAAGAAGAAATCCTAACCAGAAGTTATATAAAAAATAACAGATTTTTATTCTTAGCATAAGTCTCATACCAACATATGCAAGATGGCCTTTTAAACTGAAATGACGTTGCTGTAAAAAAAAAGAAGAAGCTGAATTGATGTTAATTTCTTATATGAGTTTGCTATGCACCGACTATCAATAAGAATTAAGGTTAAACCTTAAAAGGTTGGTCTACATTTACAAAGTCCAATCTTACAATTATACATCACACTATCAAGAGTCACTACAACTCCATAGTTTCAGATTTTTAAAACATAACGAGAATAATCACACCATAAATGCTAAAGTAAATATATATTTGATGTTTTATTTAGAAATATATTTGTTATTTAGCTGACTATCAATAATACATATTGATTGGTGTCGTGTAGTTTTAATATGTTTAATTGTGTTTTTTTTTTAATTTTCCTTGAAAAAGATAAATAATATTGAGAGTTCATAGATCTATATGTTTCAATTAACTACAACTATTATTATTTTGAAAAATAATTAAAATATCAATATATTATTTAAAATAGGATAATTATTGAAATAAAAATATCAATCAAAATTTATGTAGGAAACAAAATTATTATTGTTAAAATTAAGACCAATATATACTGAAAAAATTCAAACATTAAGAGTATCTCAATTCACTGTTATTTTAATCTTTATAATGGCATTTTTAAGGTGAAATTGCATCAATCCACATCTATTTCTTTCTATATAACAAAGATTTCTATTGTTCTAAAAAAAGAGATTTCTATTTTTTCCTTTATAGCAATCTTCTATTTTTATTATATATTTAGAGGTTACTATTATAAAGGAATATATTAGAACATATCTCATTTTTATTATAAAGTTCATTTATTTTAGAGTGAAAATAATAAAATACATTGGAGATGGTCTAATGTGAAAACAATTTTCTTTTTATGTGTTCGCCAAAATTAAATATCAAATAAAACTTGTGCAACACACATATCCAAATCTAGTGGTTTATAAAGTTTAGATAACTAAATTGGTATATTGATATTGTATATATATTCTAGGGGTGATTGGTTAAGATGTAGCTGTAAAATATTTTTTGTAGAATTTTGTCTCTAGAAATTTTTGATGTAGCTGTAAGAATTTAATACAAAAATAACAAAAATGGAAAGATATTTCTACGGTAATATTTTTCTTTACAGCATATAAAATAGTGATTTGAAAACAAGGATGCTACATCCATATTTTTAAATTTTTAACTTTAACTTTAAAAACTAGATAAAACATGATTGGTAACTTTTACTGTTGTAGATGAAAATTAAAACTAAAGTCATTAGTTACATCCTTACTAATCACCCCCAAAATAAGACGGTTAAATTTAAAATTTTGATAGTACCTTAGCCGACCTTGTAAGTGCGATTCAAACAAATTAGCTAACTTTTTGGTCTTTGGTCAACAATTTGATAATTCTATATCAATCTGATTTCTTTGTTTTTGGTCAAACAATTAACCAATTTCTATATCAAGTAAATAAGAAATAGCATAAGAAGAGGATATATGTTCATTGTTTCGCAACACAAATCCAAATATTTTCCTTCAAAATAATACAAAGAAAAATATGGCTACGAAATATAATTCAATGATTGTAATGGTCTTTATGGTGGTGATGATGATAATGGCAATGGAAAAAGTCAACGGATTAACATCGGCTGAATGCCGTGACCGTTGCAGTGAAAGTTGTGCCATGACCGCCGCACTTCCGGCCAAATGCCTTCAGAGTTGTTACAGTAGATGCCACAGCGTACCATCTCAAACAATAGGTAATTAGTTCTTTAACGTCTTTTAAAGCGAAAAACAATAATTATTGTGAAATAAATACCAAACAAATATAGAATTTATGATTATTGTGATATTTTCTAACTATACAAAATATAATTCCTCTTTTTATCAATGAATATATTCTTAGCTTGAATTTCAATAAACTAGACTATTAATTCAGTCAAGAACAGACTTTTTCTAACTATAGAAAATATAAGTCCTCTTTTTATCAATGAATATATTTGTTCGATTGAATTTCAATAAACTAGACTATTATTTCAGTTAAGAACAAAATTTTTCTTGAAAACAAAATATGAAAACATTATGAGTGAAAGGAAAATTTGATACAATAACATTTTGTTTTGATAACGTGAAAGTATCATTCATTAGTTAAGTGGTTTAAATCTAAAAAAAATATTCTCTCTATTTCAGTATGTTACAAATTTTAATTTTTTCATACATATTAATAATATATATATTTGTGATTATTTTTTACCTATACAAATTTAAACCAATAAGAATTCAATAAGTTTAACTAAGTTTTTGAAATTTGTAACTAATCATTATTAGTTAACAATACATATATTGAAAATATTAAAACCGTAGCTTAAAACAATTTTTTTCTAAAACATGTAACATTATGAAACAGAAAGAGTAACTGCAGTATCTGTCCGAATAAGTTTCATATAATGTGATTACAACAATATAACCTAGTAGTTATATACCCCTCAAAGGAATTAATCCCTCAAAAGAATTAATTTTAACACAACAATTTTATTTCCTTGCAGTGTAACTTTTTGTAACAACACTAAAATTGATACATTTTTAATAGAATTTATCATAAATGAAACAATCGATGTTTTAACTTTGTAATTGCAGGCACAGAAGAAATGAAGTCATGATCAGTGTTTGACTCTTGGGAATTGCAGTCAAAAGAAGCATGAATCAATTGTAACAATATGAAATAAAAATATAAAATTGAAACTACTTGTCCCCCTTTTTTGTTTTTGTCAACCTATCCCTTTTTATTTATATGATCAAAATATATTAAAATTAGAATAGAAAATAACATAAACGATATAATGTGTGTTAATATAAGATTCTGTTCCCTTTCTCCCTACTAGGACTTGGTATTTAATCTGCTATTCGAATCCAAACCTAAACCCAATCCGAAAGACCTGAACCGAAATTCAAACCAAAGTAATAAAATATATGAACGAGAATTACGTTGAGAGATTTCGAATCTGAACGAGTAATATCTGAATCCGAAGAGATATATCCAAAAATAACCGAATATGTATATATATATATATATATTTCACCATATAGTTTTAGTTACTTATCTTATTTAATTTAAAATATTCATATTGATGTATACATGACCCAAAATCATATAATATACATATAGCTACGGTCATAGTGATTTGTTATTCACTGAAAATACATATCAAACTTCTTGTTTCATGCATTATTAGCAAAATTTGCATTTAGATTCTCAAAATAACAATTAAATAGTGTTTTAGTGTTTTTCTATTTTCAAAATATTGTTTCCAAACCTATTAATCGTTGAACCTATTAAAAATTTAAAAAATCAGTTAAATAAATTGTAAATTTTTAAGTATAAGAAACTTAAGTAATGAAGGATTTATTTCTTTTTTTCCAGAATTTTAATAACCAAACCCGAACTAAAAAGATCTGAACCCGATTTGATATGTAAAAGTACCCGAACGGATTTCTAACCCTATACCAAAATACCCAAAAATCTGAACTATCCGAGCCGAACCAAACGGGTACCCGAACCCTCAGACTTACTCTCTACTTCTTTGTTCGCTTCTGTGAAGAAATATGGTTATAGTTTTTGAAAAGCTTTTTCTGTTATACTTCTTCCCGACGATTGTTTGCCTACCAAGTCTTAATGATATGTTGTATTTTTGGCACAGTCTAACAATGTTTTCTAAAGTGTTTTGAGTCTTCATCAAGTCTTTTTAATCCTTTTCAAATCAATACAAGTCTTGAGTGCTCTGGATGGGAGATAGACCAGTTGGAACAAAAGATGTGAAAAATAACCTAACTTGAAGGTTTTCACGAGCGGAGCAACCTGAGCGCCTGTTCTCGAGTGAGCGGAGAAATCCGACTGCGTGTTCCCCTATTTATGGAAACAAATATTATATTTTTGGATTTGCACTAGTTTCCCTATTTTTTTCTCTCCAGCCGCCAGCAGCCTCCATATATCTTCTTTTCATTCTTTCTATTATTTTCTATGCCACTTTTTACAGAGAAACAAATCTAGAGCTTTTTGAGATTTGTGATTTGATACTTTGTAAAGGGAGAAGACCATCTCTCTCGATTTAGAGAAGAGCCCTCTGAACCCTATTTATATTTTATCTGCAATCATATTCATGTCTTCTTCATCTCTTTTTCTGTGTTCTCTGTGGCTATATCTGAGTAGTCGACTTGCTTAGTCTAGGGTGATAAGGTGTTAGATCAAAGAGCTAAACACAAACAAGGTTCATTGTTTGATTGTCTCCATTCATGTTTATGCTTACTACCCGCATTAAATTAGCTATTTAGTGTTTGAAGCTAAGTTTAATCTAATTATCAACAATGCTTAGGTTGCTAAAAACAACATGAATGGGAAATTTGTCCATAGCCGGCGAAAGTAGATGTTAGGAAAATTTGTGAACTTATCGAATCTGTGCTTCAATGTGTGATAGTGATATTCCGAATCCTCATTACTAATGGAATCGAAAGGAACTTTGCTTTCATGTTTTAGTCCAAACGAGAGTTTAGGTATTAAGACTGATTGTTAAAAGGGGAGATGCAACAAGAGTTGGTCAATATTTATTTCTCTTTCGAGTTCTAGACTTGCGCTTAATAAAACCTTGAATAGATGTTTAGCTCATGATCGTTTGATACCCAAGCCTTTACCCTAGGCTAGCATCTTTTATAATCTGAAATCAAACCAACTCTGTTACTTGTTTTATTTTAATTATTTTTCTTGCATTAAATCGATTTGATTTAGCTTAATATCGATCTCATAAAGATAAAGTGTAAATTGGTCTTCTGGAATAAATCTCAAATACTACATCTACACTTCTAGCTTGCAGTAGAAAAATACACAATTTTAGTGTATCATGTTTTGGCGCCGTTGTCGGGACCATATTCTTTTACCTTTATTTTTCAGTTAATTATTAAGTTTAAGATTTCTAACTTCCTATTTTTTTCTTCCTTGCAGCTAATGTTCCAGGTGCATGACTAGTAGACATACTCGGAGAAACACACAAGGACCATTTGCTTACACTCAGCAGCGAAGAGCTTGCAAGATTAGAACGACAGAACCGTCAACAACCGAGGCCAACTAACACTACAATGGGTGACAACAACAATAACGATGACCTCACTGCTGCAATGGCACTCATGAAACAACAGATGCAGCAAACCATGCAGGCTCAGCAAGCTGCTTAGAAAGCTGCTCAGCAATCTGCAGAACATGCAGCTCAAGCAGCCGCACAACAGGAACAACCCGTTCCAATGGGGGAGAGAAACCTTCCGCGCAATAGCCCCACTACGCGTTCAGCCATCACTCCGCGAGCCTGCACTCATCAAGACTTTTAGATCAAGCCAGTCTTGATAGTCCTAGTGCAAAGGAAGACATTTCATTGTCTCCCGGCAGAGATCCATATGGAGCACATTGAAAGCTTTGAGAAAGTGTGCAGTTTCATGCGTGCCAATGGAGTGCCACCAGATTACATTAAGTGCACACTTTTCCTATTCCCTTGATGGAAAAGCAGCTAGGTGGCTAAATTCTCTCCTTACTGACTCTCTTACTTCGTGGGAACATGTCTGATCTGCGTTCCTAAGTCACTTCTACACGAAATCAAAGACAACCACTCTGAGGAACAAGATTGCCTCATTCAAACAATTGACTAATGAACCCTTCTGTGACGCGTGGGATCACTTCAATGATAACTGCAGAGAGTGCTCTCATCATGGCTTTGAGGATGACTACCTCCTCGGCATCTTCTATGATGGAGTTGATTGGGAATTTCAGAATACTTTGAATTATGCGAGCAATGGAGATTTCATGACCCAAACAACTGATGGAGCATTTTCACTGATAGAAAACATGGCATCCAGTTCGTACAACAAACATCCAGAGACTGACCGCGATTGATAACCTAACAGCCAAGGTTAATCAGCTGCTCAAAAACAACCAAAACCAGGTTTACGTCATGGAGGAATAGCCAATAATGACCAAGGCACTACTGATGATACAGCATAGAATGAGGAAACAAGAGAAAACCAGCAAGAGGTCAGTTACGTCAGCAGTCAGGGTTGGCAATTCATGAACTACCGTTCAAATCCTAATCTGAGGAATAACCAGCATTTTTTATCCTACAAGACCAATGCGGATAATCCAACCGACAAATCTCATGGAAATCAGTGGCAGAACATACCCAGAAGAACTATCCTCAGAATCAGCAAGGGAAAATGTTCATTCTTAGCCAGGCTCAGAATCAGTATCAGAACAAACAGAACAACGCGCAGGCCGTTTTGGCTGCTGTGAATAGTTAACCTGACGAGCTAAAGGGTTTAGGCGTGATGATGCAACAAATTCTACAGGGTCAGCAAATTCAAGGAAAGACACTAAAAGCATCTCCAACCCAACTTCATTTTCCACTTTTTGTTTCATTTAAATAAAATTTGCTTCAACCCTACTTCATTGTTTTCTTCAAAATCAAGTCGTGAATAGTGTTGCTTCAAATTTGAAGATCTACTGTGCATATCTTCAATTTTTTGAAGATACACTTTTTAATTGTAAATTGATCCTTTACTTTTGTTTACTCTTATCTTTTGCCAAAATAAATTATATGCTGTAATATAATTCAATTAATTTTTAATTTCATTTGTTATTTTCATCATATTAATGTAAGATATTAAATATACTTAAAAATTATAAATATAAAAAGTAAAATTACATAATTAATATAAAAAGTTACAAAGGAGTTG